ATACCCTTAAAAGTGATTTCTTAAATGGTCTGTTGCAACTGGGCACAGATATCTGACGAAAATGTATATACTTATAAACTAGATAATACAACCATCACATGCTGCCCTCATCCTGTGTTAATTTAAGTAAATGTGTCATTTTCATAATTTTAAGTATTTTAAACTAGACTTGTGATGAACATCTAAAGCTTTGAAAAGCTGTCATCAATATACTATAAAGTTGGGTTTTTTTTTTTTTCTTAGAATATATATTAAAACAATTTATAAAATTTTACATGCTAAATTAAATCTGTATTCACAAAATAGCTACTTCATTTGGGTTAAAATTTTACATTACAATTACATATTGTAATGTACGCAGTATACAGTATACACTAAGTTATGGCGGAAACATGCAGATTATATTACAAGTGAAATCTCTCAAACTAGTATTTTAAAGCAAAAATTACTTTTCAGACTTGTTTTCAGTGAAGCAGTATATGATTGAAAATTGTTTTTGGGCCAAAATAATTATAGATTTGAACCTAGTATGTACATCTTTATACAATATTTACAATAATATAATGGATAAAACATGCATTAAAATATGAAGAGCATATCATACTATACCAGATCATATTTAGAGCTCGTGCATCCTGTAAATGCTGTTATTTCTTGCTGAGCATGCATATTTTCTTGCTCAGCATGTGTTAAATTAGATGTTCGGCAATCCGGAAATATAGCAACAATGAAAAATGGGGCTCAGGTTTTCATTATAAGAAGAAATTATACACTGTGCCTCCTCTAAACATGCCGTTGTTGCTAAGAGGCCATTGTTTTATCCCAGTTAGTACAACTGCATTCATGTTATTTAAAAAGACACTTTCCAGAGATGAACAGAACGGTGTCCATAATAGACCTTTTTTTAATGCTAATTTCAGTTAAAACACACATATATAAATATGATACAGAAGAATATTAAATAAAGATGATATTTCCACTTTTATTGTAAATCTGTTGTTTTGCTTTAAAGAGAAATCTGAAGTGTTGTGCTAATTTAATAATAAACTTTTTAATTACAGTGAACATTTAGGTTTATCGTTGAAATCAGTTTCTGTAGGCACATACTTTAAAGTCTTGACTACAAAAGCTAATGAACATTTCACAACAACATACAGTTCATTTAACACATATAATTGGCCTGAAGTGAGGCAAGCTGGTATGAAGCTGCTACTGAATAGCCTTTTACAGGCATTTTAACAAACATTAAACAGTAATAGTTATGAATATTTATGAAACAGACCTTCCTTCTGTGACTAGCCCCGGTGTTTCCTTTATAGGTGCAGTACATGGATCCAAATGTCAATAATCAAGATGGTGATTAGCGTCAAAAGAATCAGTCTCTGAATGACGAGTGATTTCATTGCAGCTGTTTGTATCGTTCTATAGCGCCCTCTCCTAGGGATACAAACACACAACTGCAATAATATAATGAGAGCTGGGGCAAGTTCAATCTCAAACCGGTGTGCACCGTTTTGCTATGGTTTCCGGTTTGAACGACATGTTTCCTGGAAACGGTGTGCAACGGGGTTTGAGATGCGTTTTCTCTTGTTTGGTGGGTGTGTCAAACATGTCAGCCCAATCAGCAGCAACATGTATACCTCCCCTCTCTCTCTGTCAGTGACAGGCCAGTTAAAGTTAAGAACATAGCAGTAATGAATTAAAGTAGCCTGCTAAAATATGATAAATTATGATGAGATATCATAAGTATTCGGTGCAAAACAACTTTGCTTTATTGGGAAAGGATAATCCTACTCCGGACGCGAGTGGCACGACGCGACAAAAGAACCCAATAATCAGTTATGCTGTCCATATTTACATTTACTCATTTAGCAGACGCTTTTATCCAAAGCGACTTACAGTAGGAGAGCATATAACACACACTGGATCCAGCTAAAGGGTTATTTTGTCGCATCACTCGCATTCGGTATAGATGACCCGTTAGATCAAACCATAACGTAGCAATTTGATCGCGTGATTTGTATCATCGTGACATAACACATACTTACAGTGTTTGAAAAAGGACGTAATCATCTGCTTTTTTCTGGGGTGCATCTTACCCCCAAACCACACAAGTGATGATTCGCCTTGTGATTGGCTGAATGTTCGTTCACTCAAATCTAAATAAACAAATCAGAGAACACGGGCAGAAATATCGAATTATCGGCGGTGGGTAAAAACAAAGTGCGGGGGACCGAATAACCTTTTACTAGGTAGGTAGCTTTTATTGTCATTCACCTGTACATACAGAGTGCACTTTTGAACGAAATTCCATTCCACTGGCTCATAAATACTGCACTAAACTAAACACATACCATAAAATCAGTATAAAAATATATATATAATAAAAATTGCAACAGTGTTCATTTAAAATAATATAGCACTAAACGGAATGACAGCAGCATATAAATATTAAATAATGCACATAGTAATTAGCAGCATCTAAAAAAAATGTATTGCACTTATTAAGCAGCAGCATATAGTACAATTATTGCACATCGTAAAAAGTACTATTATTTCAATGTCCACATCTAGTACACATAAGACTCACTACAAAAAGATTCAGTGAAATAAAATGGTTAAGAAGTTATTTTTGAGTTCAGAAGTCTGATAGCTTGTGGAAAAAAGCTATTACAGAACCTTACTGTTCTGCACCGAATGCTGCATCCAGAGGGCCCAGAGGGCAGCAGCGTAAACAGTCCATAATGAGGATGGGTAGGGTCTTTTGCAATGTTTGTCAGGCAGCTCAGGCAGCGTTTGTTTGCGAGTACCTGGATGGAAGGCAGTGAAGAGCCAATGATCTTTTCCGCTGTCCTCACCACTCTCCGTACAGACCTCCAGTCAGAGGCTTTACAATCCCCAGACCATACAGAGATGCAGCTGGTCAATATGCTCTCTATAATGCATTTGTAGACAGTACTGAGGATGGGAGAGGGAAGGTGTGCTCTTCTCATCTGACGCAGACAAAAAGACACTGCTGTGCTCTCTTCACAAGAGAGGCGATGTTAACGGTCCATGTCAAGCTATCTGTGATCTGCACCCCCAAAAACTTGATACTACTGACTACTTCCACCGCAGTGTCATTGATGATGAGTGGTGTGTGCCTGTGCTGCTTTTTCCTGAAATCAACAATGATCTCCTTTGTTTTTTCGACATTCAGGAGCAAGTTATTTGTGTTGCACCAATCCACAAGCTGTCTCACCTCCTCCCTATAGGCCTGTTCGTTGTCATCCTGAATGAGGCCCACCACTGTCGTGTCATCCGCATACTTCACAACATGGTTTGTACTGAACCTGGCACAGCAGTCATGGGTCATCATGGTGAATAGTAATGGCCTCAAGACGCAGCCCTGAGGGGAGCCAGTGCTCAGAGAGATGATACTGGTATGATTTCCAACCCTCACAAACTGAGGTCTGTCTGTTAAAAAGTCCAATAGCCAATTACACAAGGGGGTACCAAGGCCCAAAGGTCCCAGTTTGCTTACCAAATACTGGGGGATAATCGTATTGAATGCCGA